TTGTGCGTGCGTACGTCTGACTCTGTCTTGGTGTGTAGGCTTGTGTGTTCGGATCTTTGAGTGTTTATATTCTATAGACGTCTGTTTAAAACGTATATCTAAACATATATCTCCATCATGTATTGGTTTATATACGTGCGCATTAAGAATACTTTACAAATATATATAAATATGTATACGTACATATGATTTCGCAAACAATAATGGAGAGACCGAGGTTAGGCCTGCTCAGCCGACGTGTGGCCCCATCCATTCCTTTCCTCTAAATTTGTACATAATTATGTCATGCAGTACTCAGCATGACGTAGTGCGAAAGTGCCTAAAAGACTAAAAATCTATCTTACACATTCTGTCTCCTTCTTTCTCCCTCTCTCTCTCTCTCTCTCTCTCTCTCTCTCTCTCTCTCTCTCTCTCTCTCTCTCTCTCTCTCTCTCTCTCTCTCTCTCTCTCTCTCTCTCTCTCTCTTCATCTATCCATCTATTTATCTATCTGCTTATCTATCTATTTATCAATTATTATCATCATTATCAGACCTATCTGTCTGTCTACGTCATTTTACTCAGACGAGCACTTTTAGAGATACATTTTGAATTCTACTCGAGTTTTTGGACTATCCAGAGATGGATATGTTTTCCTCCTTGCTGTTCCCCCTATTCTTCAAATCCCTTTGGCCAAAAACACACATTCTGCCACGATCCCCAAGCCATTCCAACGTGCAGTAGATAAAGTGTTGTTCCGTAATTCGTGACCTGAATGGCTCGTGAAAGAAACGGGCGAGTTTGATAAACCTCGGTCGTTAGTGAGACTCTCAAAATTTTTATGAGTTCGTCCTTAATAGAGTCATTGGGCGGCGTCCAGCATCATATATCTTCGTGTGGGATTCAGTCACTCATAAAAAGGCAGCCGAGATATGTTCACAAACCCGCCATCGATCCACTCTTGGGAATGAAGCGAATCGTGGACAAAGTTGACGGAGCTCGTTCCATATATTTCTCTTTGAGGAAGTGATGTCTTGTTTCCCTACACTGAAACTATACTTAAATCACTACGAAATCCATTTCCGAGTGTTAGCAAAAAAAAAAAAAAAAAGACATCAGATAAACAAGGAAACAGTTCAAGAACTTTAGAAAGGATCATTTAAGAGACAGAATGGGAGAGACGAGAAGGAAGGAGAGAGACAGAGACAGAGACAGACAGAGAGAGAGAGATAAAAAGGGAGGGAGGGAGGGAGGGAGGCAGACAGATAGACAGAGATACTGATAGACAAGCAGTCTGACAGACAGATAAACTGACTGACAGAGACAAAGATACAGAGAGAAAGAGAGGGAGACAGAGACAGGGTGGGGGAAGGAGACAGAAAGACTGCCTCACACACACACACAGAAAGAGAGTCTAAGCACACAAATAAAAAGATATACAAATGGCTCATCTACAGAATCCCTTCCGCAAAGGTGTTCCAGACCACCTTGAGATCACATTGAAAGGGTCAAGTCCTTTATCCGCTGCGTGGAGATGAAATTTAAATACAGATTACATGATAACATAATGTGGACAAAACATGACTCTACAATCTGAGACAACCAGGGATTTCCCATCTAGGTATATTCTGTGTGAAGAACTCCAATCACTGTTTAAGGACTACATAAAGATTCTTGTAGTGCTACCCTTATCATCGCCGTGAAATAGATTGACACATATGTTTACACGTCTGTGAGCTATGGAATGCGAACTAAGCCATTGCAAGAATTATATGTACGTATTTGTGTTGTGTCTCTAAATATACAGGTAAATTAGTTAATTTATATATAGACACATAAATAGATGTATTCAGATGTGCACAGACACATATATGTGTGTTTATGCATCCATGTGTTTTTGTATCAAACTTATTGAAGTGCATCAAACAGATAGTGAAATGAAGGTGGCAAAAGCCGTAGAATTGCCAAAAGCAATATATTGAAATTTCATTGACGCTTATGTTCGCATATAAGAGCGAATTATGAGTAACAAAATGACACACACACACACACACACACACACACACACACACACACACACACACACACACACACACACACACACACACACACACACACACACAATCCACTGACCTTGACAAGTGTTGGGGCGACGCTGGAGCATGGAGATACCACAGTTTTGATGCACTTGTCATGAACCACGAAGTTGCACACTGTTGAAAAGAAAGTCACGTTAGTCACTATCAGTAAACAAAAGTACAATTGCAGTTCTCAGAGACAAAGGTCACTCTTATTAGGTCGTAGTACAAAAATAGGGTACACATAGCATTACTGCGATTATCATTTATTATCACTAGAATATTTGAATTGAAATGATGCTTAAAATCGGTACAAGTTGGCTTAAAAGGAGTATATGTGACAGCTGGTCTGATACGGGTTGACTAATTTCACTTTTTCTTTGTGTTATGTTTCTTGTTTCTGTTCATTTCAATCAATTCTTCCTTCCCCTTCTTCGATTCTCGGTCTTTGTTTCATTATACTCTTTACTGTGAATCTTTCTTACCGTTTCCTTCCTATTTCTTTCTATTTCATATTTTTCTAGTTTCATTTTCATCATCTCGCTCCTTTCTTCTAACATTCAAATGTATGTCCGCTCTTTTAAAATAGCACAATATTCGACGCACACACATACAAGCAGTCATATCAGCCAGTTTGTACACACATAACTAACACATCACAAGAAACGCAATATACAGAACAAACAGACACACATCAGACTTAGTGTACATGCAAAAATTCATGGATACACTAATACATACGCCCTCACACACATGTGTATGCGCATCTGCACTCGTACAGATGAAAAGGAACAAATCGAGCGCTTTTACACATATATACACACAAAAAGCAAATGCAAAAAATAAAATCACACGGACATTTACAAAGCATACACACACAATATACATACACCCACAGCACACACACACATACACACACACACACAATGCAGACAACTCACGAACACACACACACCCACACACACACGTACAAATCAAAACAAGAGCACACACATACATACGCACACACAAACCATTCAAAACAAGAGCACACACACACACATACACACACACACAAACCATTCAAAACAAGAGCACACACACACACACACACATACACACACAAACCATTCAAAACAAGAGCACACACACGCGCGCGCACAAACAAACAAACAAACTAAACACACGCAAATTCTGCCCCCCCCCCCCACCTCTCCTATCCTAACCCCGCCTCATTATCTCCTCGATTCATCCCCTCGCCCTTCGCCTGCTTTCCCTGCTGAAGGAGGGGAGGTCGCGGGGCGTTGAGGCGGCACGAAAGGGGAAAGGAGTCGGCGATGGACCTCCTGCAGAAGGATTCTTCGGGAAGGTTTAACTTGGAAGATTTCTTGGAAGGTTTTAGGAATAAGAGATAGGTGAGAGTGGGAGGCCTTAGGAGGAGGAAACGAAAGAGGCAGTGGGGAAAAAGGAATGAGAGGTGGATAGATAAGCAGACAGAGAAAAGGAGGGGGGAGGGGGAGGAAGAAAATGAGACAGATGGGAATGACAGGGAGAGAGAGAGAGAAGGGGAGGGAGGGAGGGAGGGAAGAAGGAAGGGAGGGAGGAAGAGAGGGAGACAGAGAAGGCAATGGAGTGAGTGTGGAGGAAGGAAGGAGGAAGTGATGAAGAGGGAAAGATGGTTGTAGATAAATGGATAGAGAGAGAGGGTGATAGACAGAGAAAAGGAAGAAGGCAAAGTAGGAGAGAAAGGAAAAGGGAGAGAGGAAGGGATGGAGCTACTGGTGTATAGATAGATAAATAGAGAGTGGGAGACAGGAAGAAGGGGCAGAGAGGAAAAGAGAGAGAGAGAGAGATGAACCAGAATGCGACTTGGGCATCTCGGAAGAAATGTAGTCTACAGCTTTAGGATGGATTATGGCCGAGTGGACAGAGCCAAGAGGAAGTAAGTATTCAAGAGAGATAGATTTGACAGAGACCGCCACCCGCCCTTCTGCTGCAGCCCTCCTTGTCTCGCCCTCTCCCCCCGCTTCCGGCCCTCTTTCTCGCGCCCTGAGATCCCCAGGTCATTTCGGGCTTCCTACATCACTCTCGCAGGTCACGGAGCCCCCGCCCCCCGCCGTGTCACTCGCCCCCCCCCCCCCCCCCCGCCCTTTCCCCGTGATGGCGAGTCATTTCTGATTACTGACCATCTCCGGGTGACAAGTAGTCCCCGTCCCTCGGGGCTACTAATCCTCTCAGGGGAAAAGTTCCCTGCGGATTACAGGAGCCAGAACTTGCTCCCCCAGCCCCCTCGCCCCCGGTTCTGGGGCTTTCCAAGGGGAGTTTTGGCCTCTCTTCCTCCCCGTGAGGCAGACGATAGGCCTATAAGACAGCGCGGGCTCACCACCTTCCAGAAGCCCCCTCACACTCCAGTCGTGAGGCATGTGCGGAAAAGTCCTACATGGACGGCCGTGGGCTACGAGCGTCCTCGGTTATGAGGCAAAAGTGGCGTGCCTACATGAGTGACTCCCTCACCGAATCCCAGAATCGCCGCAAATGTCACAGGCGCACGCAGGCCATGACAAGACGAACAGCTCTGCGAGGCATCACCAGACGCTGCCACTGATGAGGCTCTGTTACACCTCATAAACATGACAGGTTGAAGGCCCGAACACACGATGCTTCCCAAGAATACAGGGACCACTGTGCCATTGATAAGTACACATTGAACAACGAAATCTAGGCCACTGAGGTCGGCTGAGAAAACGAACAGGAAGCTGTGTTGGACTCGGGCGATGAAGCGGTGCTCCTGAGCAACTCATTTTTCTAATTTCCTTCTCGTATTTAAAAAAATGGAGAAATATGTATCTAAGTCACATATCGAGAGCTCTTCCTCCTCTCCCTTTTTTCGCGTCGTGTGGCCACTCCATTGACTCCCTCTTCCTGGCCTTAAATCATACTTTCGTCTTTAACAGATGTGCAGATG